TAATATTTTGAGATAGGATATTTGGGTTTCTTAAGCTGTAAGCCATAATCAGCGATATTAAAACAATAAAAGGCTTGCGATATTTCAGTTGATTTGTTCCTCGCTTGCAATGCCAGAATATCGCCTGCTTTTAACCTAAGACTGTTACAATAATGTATCAACAAGACATAATATATTTTCCTAACAATCAACATATACCGAACCGAACCCAAAACCGTGACCACGAAACCGTGAATCGAACCGAACCGTGGATTTTGTGAACCGTCCCACCCCTAATCCACTCTGGTTTATTCTCAGGCTTCCAACTAAAGAACTGATTCTAACAGGCAAGAAGTTTTTCCTTGCCTGTGTCGCCTAGTGCTTGCTCATGGTGGGAATTGTTAGGTTTCTGTAGTTAACTTCAGAGTAGGGTCTGACCTGCTCTGTTTGGAAAGCTGTGAGATAAACAACTGTTGTTGTGATGTGGCGCTATATAGATAAAATTGAATTGAATGATTCAGGGATTCACGATAATTTAAGGAGAAATCCACAATTTTGCTGTCTTACAACGCACATTTTACAGCATCACATCCAGATGTTTGTTAGAAGGAAAATGTGGAATTTAAAATTTTCTCTACATTTTGAACAAGTTATGATCTGAACAATTCCTTAATCTGTTAAAAAAATCATGCAAAATGGAAACAAATTCTGTGTTTGACTCCCCCAGCGTGTACTGTTCAACACAGAGAGTCCAACTTCACTCAGAGCCAAAAATAAAAAGCCCACTATGATTCATTCATTCACTTATGACTAGGTTGCTTAAAGAAGTCCTGTTAAGTGCCTGTTAAAGGAAGTTTTTCCTTGCCTGTGTCGCCTAGTGCTTGCTCATGGTGGGAATTGTTGGGTTTCTGTAGTTAACTTCAGAGTAGGGTCTGACCTGCTCTGTTTGGAAAGCTGTGAGACAACTGTTGTTGTGATGTGGCGCTATAGAAATAAAATTTAATTGAATGATTCAGAGATTCACGATAATTTAAGGAGAAATCCACAATTTTGCTGTCTTGCAACGCACATTTTTACAGCATCACATCCAGATGTTTGTTAGAAGGAA